GCCCAGTTTGGCGAGAAGCCGCTGCCACGGGTGTGCGATGCTGCCCACCTTTACTCTTTGTGTAATCCACTGAGCGCCGCATCACTGCTGTCCAGGGTGGGTGGCAGACTTTGGGTTTGGGTATGGTTTGGGAGAGAAGAGGCGAGATGATGGGGGGGGCTGTCTCTAAGCCCCCTGGGAGTATCCGCCGCGCCCACTGAAATTGGTCCAGACGGGTCAGGAATTCTGCTTTCCATCTAGCCCATTTCTGGTCTGTTTTCTTAGAGAAAAAAGGGCGCTTGTTTCCCCCAGGAAGTGGGTTGTTGTGCAGAGCTCCCACCTGGTGAATCGTCCTGCCCAAGTAAGACAGAAATGCATGGCTGGTGACCAGTCTTAGGGCCTCGTGAGGAACCCCCGACTCGCCATCCACTCCAACTTAAAGTCAGCGTGGCCCATGTGTGACAGGATTGCACTAGATCATGCAAGTCCTGAGTTCAAATCCTCACTCGGCCACAAAAATCTTCAGCTCATCCTGACCCACCTCACGGGCTTGTTGCGAAGGGAGGAAAGAAACCCAGGACCCTGACTCGAACTCATTGGAGGGGAAGTGGACATAAATGTGGCAGAGCAACACATTAAGAGTAAGTAGTACAGTCGTGGTGGTGGTGGTGGGGGTGACTTGCAGTTCTCAGAAATAACGCCGTCAGAGCTACGTAAAACAGCAGGACAGTATTAGGAACAGCATACATACTGCGCCCATATTGAACAGATACTTAGGTTTTGGGTTAAAACTTACATCTGTTATATAATAACAGTCAATGTTTTTGTAAATTTGATTGACTGTGCTTGCCATTTTGGATGATGAGGATGATGATGAGATGCCCAATACGTGCTTAGGTGCCAAAGGGCCCCCCTCGCCCTTTCCACCCACTGGTTTCTCCGTCCACACTCGGGGCTTTGCTGTGTTACGTGACCCTGGCCCAGCGGTGGGATTGGCCGTTTGCTCGGCTATGATGGGAACAAAAGAAACCCCCAGCCGTTGCCCTGCTGGATTGCCGTTGGGCTTGTGGGTCTTTTTTGCACCCTCTGACGAGTTTTGATTCCCCCCCCCATGAAGACCCCTCACTCTTGTGGCATCAACCGGGGGGAGGGCAAAACCAGCCTCAGACAACAAAACCGGCCGCGGGGATTCAAGCCAAACCTGACTTGGGCTTCCCAGCAATGCTGGCGTGGGGGTGTTGTTTTCTTCTTCTCCCCCCGCCCCCCACCCCGCCGTCCTGCATCCCTGCTTTCTTCCACCTTGGCTTCCCTGTTCTTAGCACATAGAGCGGCTTCAGCTTTCTTCCCCGAGAGAGGATGCCGGCC